GTTGATCAGGTTGACACGCATGGGAGCCACCCGCGTCACAAGGCAGCCGAAGAGGACCCGCATCCCGAGGCAGTCGAAGAGGACGTGGCAAAGGAATACTATGTCAGTAAAGCGCTCCTCCCAGCTGAAAGGCGCTACATGCCGATAGAGAAGGCGGTCCTAGCAGTCATCTCTGCAGCAAGAAAGTTGCGTCCTTACTTCTAGGAGTATCCAATTACTGTTCTCTCAAACTTGCCTTTAAAAAAGATACTCAGAAGTCTGGACGCCTCGGGAAGAATGACCAAATGGGCGGTCGAGTTAAGTGAGTACGATATCTCATACACGCCACGTCCTTCCATAAAGGGACAGGTGCTGGCAGACTTTGTAGCAGAAGGCTTTAGCCTCGATGTCACAACGGTGGAGAGGCAAAGCGAGACATGGAGCTTGTTCGTCGATGGTGCCGCGTGCAAAGGCGGAGTAGGCGGAGGCATTGTCCTCGAATCGCTGCGGGGAGTCATACATGAGTTTTCCCACAGATTCCAAGAGCTAAAGACCAACAATGTAGCAGAGTACGAAGCCCTCCTGAGCGGTCTCAAAATCACCATGGGGATGGGCACCACGCGCCTCCACATCTGCTCGGACTCCCTGCTGGTAGTCAACCAAGTCCTGGAAAATTAAGAAGCAAAGGAAGAGGCGCTCGCAATGTTAGCCGATGAAGTGAGGGGCGTTCTCTCTTAGATAGAAGAATGAAAGTTGGAACACGTCAAGCGGGAAGATAATCACCACGCGGATGCATTATTCTAGCTAGGAACCGCAATGGATTTCGAAGGCGATCGACAAGTCACTATCACCGAGCTTCTCGAGCCAGAGGGGGTGAACTTCGGGACATTGTACACCCGCCTCGCTCGGCCAGGTCAGCTTCCCTTCAGGGCGGGGAAGACGAAGGCCAGCACATTGCAGCTCGACAATCGCATCCTCCATCACATGCTGGCCAAGTCTTACACTCCAGCCTCGGACAGTGCCAGATCAATCACCAAGAGAGCCATGTACTTCATCCAGTCTATGCGCCAGAGGGATCATCCCCTCCACTTGGGCTCGCTGGTGGCGAGGACCTTCGACAAGAGTGTTTCCGAGCTGAAGAAACTCCACTGCACTCCCCTCATCACCCGCCTGGCCACTTACTTCCAGATATCACTACAGGGGTGCACAGAGTAGGGAGATACCAGTGCCTTTGGCCGGTTTACGATCAGTAAAATGCACCTGCTTCGAGAAGAGCGAGGTGTTATGTGGATCGAGGGGTTTCCTCAACCTCAGATCCCAGAGGAGGTCCAGCCGGAGGTTCCCGAGGGTGCGGGTGATGAGGATGTCCACCCGGAGGATGTGGATGATACTGCTGCCGCCCGCCCCACCACCTTCGAGTACGAGGGTGGCAGCTCCACTTTCCCCGGCCAGGACTACTTCGCTCAGCAGTTCGAGCAGCTGCGTCTCCAGAATCAGCAGCTCTACGACCATCAGCTCCAGTTTCAGCAGCAGTATTCGGCTCACCATGCCGAGTACCAGACCCGGTTGGCTGCGTATGATGAGCGTCTGGATCGGATGGAGACCCAGCAGGGGGTGACCCTGGTTCGCATCGAGAGAGAGCAGGCCCGATCTAGGCACATGCAGGAGGTCCAGCAGCATCTGCTCCAGCTGCTACCAGGTGCGCCGCCAGTCTGGAGGACTCCCTGGGAGGACTCTCCACTTCCACCCCCGCCAGCTGATGATGATGATGCGTTCATGAATGACATCGATCTAGACAACCTTGGCGACGAGTAGGCTGTACTTGTCGCCCCTCAGTGTGTGTTTTTGTTTTAGACTTTTTCTGTTTGCTCCATGTGTTTGAGGAGCTTGAACTGAGTTTGTGGTGTGTTTTGTTTCTTTTCTTTTGTGGATTGTTTCTTTTGTGGATTGTTTCTTTTGTGGCCATCTGGGCCAACTCTGATCCCTAACGAACATGTGCTAGTGTGTTCTTGATGTTCCCTTAGTGCAAAACTGTCTGTTCGTTCCATATGTCCCCCGCTGACTGGTCCACTTCCAGTCTCCCGCAGCATTTCAATCCGGTAACATCGTTCCCCTTCTCTATTCCTCTGCTCCATTGAGGGCAATGTCGTGCTTAAGTGTGGGGGGTGCTTTGTATCGGTTGAAATTTATATACATGTGCTTGGAGCCTAGTCCACTGTCCAAATCTCGAGATTTGAGGGCTCCAAGTACGGCTGTTTGATCATATTGGCACTGTGTTTTGATTGGTGAATTGAATGGTTTTCGGATTAATGCATGACAACTGGATGGTGACTAGGACAACCTATAATGATAACTGAGACGTGCAGTAGGATTGTGTAGGGGTTCAGTTTTTCAACTGTTTGCTTACCAACTGTGACTTGAATGGATCACTTGTTCTTGACAGTCTCTTATGCATCTAGATCAGGGAATCAGAATGAGAGATAGAGCATATAGGTAGCCATGTGAGATTTGAGCCTGCTCGTTTCTTTCTTGTGCTATAGTTCCCTCTTCCATGATGTGTAGCATTCACGTTGTCATTAGCTAAGATGATGGAGGCATAGGATTAGCCCACGACCAAATTGACTGTCCTAGTGTGTCATACCCCCTAGTCAGCCCCTTTGAGCCGTGTGTTATCCTTTCTTTCGGTCTTCAATGAAAAGTCACCCTTTTGCATCTTTTAGAAGGTTCCACAGAGTGATTTTTACATGTTCTCTGTTGTTTCTGCTAAATATAATGTGAGAGTTGGAGGTAGTTCTTAAAAAGTTGGGCAGGTGTTAGAAAATGTGCAAAGGTGGTGGTTCTCTTAAGAAATGGAAAAAATAAAGGGAAAAAATGAAAGCAAAAGTGAGCCACCACCAAAAATCTGAATAGTGCCCATTAAGTAGTGTTTCTTAGCAGTCTGGCTTAGAAATACTGGTATTTATGTGACCTCCTTCGCTCTTGTGCTCTAGAGAATTTGAGTAATGCAGAATAGCAGAAAGAAAGTACTGGTTTGATTGACTGTAAGTTTGTTGGGTTTGGAAATGTGGAACCTTGTGCTATGAATACTTCCACCACCTAAAAGGCCTTTTCCTAATGTCCAAGACCCTAGCCAGTCACTTGAACCTGTGTCTAAGACCTCCGGATTAGTTAGTGATGACACCCATTTTTGTGAACTCTAACATTTAGAGGCTGCCGTCATGGTGAAGAGATGTTAGGAATTGAGAGAATAAGTATGCGCATTTTTCGCATCAAATTGTCCTGACCCCACTGGTCGAGAGTGAGCGATTCATTTCCTTGTTCTTTACACTCTTTATCCGGTGAGGACCTAGATGGCTCGGTCTTGATTCTGATGTCTTGAGTTTTATGCATGAGTTGACTGTCTTGAGTAAGTGGTTGAGTCAAGTTTAGGTTGGTTGATGAACAGAAGGGAGACTCCTCCTTTACTCGATTTTGCTGCACTCGAATGTCTTCTGTGGTGGTTGTCGAAGTTTCTATTGAGTTTGTTCATGTGTTGATGTTTGAAAGCCAGTATGATTCACGTGTTCTGTGCCTATATGATTTGTCCCCAATGTTGGTATGAGTGAAATATGTGAGCTTACCTTGTGTCTGACTTGGTTTGCTTGGGGACAAGCAAACAGTTAAGTGTGGGGGAGTTTGATAAGCCGTTAATTGCACATGTTTTTACCCCTATTCTGGAGCCGTTTGAGGTGTTGATTCTTGTGTTTTAGGCCGATTTCACGCTAGGTTGTGCTTGTTTGTGATATTTCAGGTCCTAGTACGCGAATGAAGGTTTGGGAGCGAGTTCGGGGTCGATTGGACGAAGATCGGGCGTGAGGCAAGTCAATGAGGAAGCCACACGGGCACACACACAACTCACACGGCCGTGCAAGTGACCAAGTAGGCCGTGTGGGATTGTGCGAGCCTTCACACGGGCACAAATAAAATCCACACGGCCGTGTGAAGGAGTGATTTGGCCGTGTTGAATTCTGCGAGACTTCACACGGCTAGGCTGGGTGAGCTACACGGTCGTGTGCCCTTGGCCGTGTAGGAAGCCTGAAACCCACATAATCGGAACGCGGCGTTTTGACTTCACACGGGCAACTGGGTATGTCACACGGCCGTGTGGCCTGCCCGTGTGAGTCGGGAATTTCTGGTTTTTACCCAATTTCGGGCCACAATTGAGAGGATCGGATTTGGAGAGCAAAAACAGAGCCCTAGAGAGAGAAAGTACGAAGAAAACATCCTAGAAGCCATCTTGGAGCTGGGTTTCATCAAATCGAGCTTGGAGATCGTTATAGGAGTGGAAATCATCATCCCATAGCAGATTCTTCCCATTGTTATGAGTATGACTGCTTTATATTCTGTTTTCCTCTCTCTCTCTCTATGGAGTAGAACCCTTCTCTCACTTGGGTATTAAGAACCCTAGTTCCATGTGTTAGGGATTTGATTGTAATGACTTGGGATGATTATACTGTTTGGTTTTAATCGAATGATGCATGTTTATTGAATTGATTGAAGTCTGATCAGCTTTTCTTGATTTCTGCTGCAACCTGAGATAGATAGAATCTGATTAGGTTGTTAGAGCCTCATCATTCGTTAGTAGGAGATTGGCTTACGAGAGTTAGCCAGTTTACTGCTTTGTACTGGAATCCAATTCCAGTAGTGGAGTTTTGTGCTTATTGCTTCAGCTTTCTATCCCGGTGAAGACTAGTCGTCTGCCGGGTAGTTAGACTGAGAGGGCTTGGTCAGCTTAAGAGATTCCAAGCTACCGTCGGATCTTCCGCAGTCTAATCAACAGTAAATCAACCCAGAGTAATTACAATTGAGAGCTAACTAAGGAGCTAGGGGGACTCATTCCCGAGTGACTCTTCTTTGCTTGAGAAAACCGTACCAATTCCTGCTTTCTTTCTGCTTTTGCTTAAAACAACAATCACTTGTCTTAGTTGACTAGATAATAGATACTCACGGAGTAAGCAGTAGACCTAGACCCCGGGTTGATAATAGAACTTGCCACTTTACTGCATTCCCGGACTGCGATTACACTTGGTCGCAGTTTGGTGTTGTGTTTTGGCGTGTTACCACCAAAGCATCCCTTTCCATATCAACACCTGCCTGCGAGGAACCACCATGTTGCGCCTGAGCACTTTCGGTAGATCCAACTTCTCCACCTTGATCTTGGCCAGTGGAGAAACCAACCTTGAAACAAATCGAATTTTTCATTCTAAGAACGGGAACAATAACACAAACTTAAATACTCACGGCGATGCCGAGGGGGACACGACGGTTGAACCTAAGGTCATTCCAGGAGATGACTCGGGGGATGGCTTTAAAAATTTTGCAGCTGGCATAGATGATCTACGACCAACATCCTCGGGGCTCATAGACTATTCAATTCTTGCTGATCGTCTGGGGATCATTGAAGCAGCAGATTGGACAGATGGTACAGCAGAATGAACAGCAGAGGACATCACAGCAGGTGCAGCAGTTCGGGTAGAGCCCACCTGTACACCCATCACTGAAACCTGAGAACCTCCAAGAACCCGTGACTCAGTATCAATATCTTCATTTCTGACATTTGCAGAAATAGGGTTTCGAAAATCCTTGCCCTCATAACTGGGAAATCTGCGAATTATAATAACTGACTCAGGTGACATCCTCGAACAACATCACAAATTAGCAAAGCAAACTTCGGGAACAACGTCAATACTTGTCAATCAGATCTGGTTCATCAGTGATGCTAAACGGCATAGCTGGAGCTTCAATGAGAAGAGAGTCTGAAACCTTTTCCTTTCCCTTCGAGGCCCTTGAGAACACATCACAAATATTTCACTTTAGACATGGAAGACAGACCAAAGCAAAACACACAGAAACCAAAGCACCCAACACTGACCTCGATGAACCAGAAGGGCCCCCCACGGTACTCGATGCGCGCACCATAGGAGCAGCCAATGGAGGGGGCGAAGAAAACTCAAACAGATCACCGACCACAGTAAGATCATCAAGAGGAACCACTTGGGTCACACGGAATTCACCCGAGGAGAAACTAGTTGGGCCCGGCAACGGCAACCTACAATCAAACTTGCAATATTGCCCTCGTAACTGATGCAGTTGTGGGGGCAGCTGACCAGGACGATGGGGGAACCTCTGGGCCAGATGTGCAGCAGAAACGTTCACCAGCGTAAGTGCACACCCCCACCCCCACCCCCCCCCCCCCCAATTAGTATAAAACGCGCCTCACAGGAGTCATCCCTCAGTGTAAGCTGAGCTTGTAGCTGAGGGAAAAAGAACATTAGCAACAAAACTTACAATAGGCAACAAACATACAAAAAATGATACATCGTCATACTTGACGCGAGTTTGTTCCTCGTCGAACTGCCAATCCTTTGAACACCAAAACGTATCATCACGACGCTTCGAAACAGCCCTCGAACACAACTTGCATGAAATATAATACCAAGGTGTGCTTGACTCGACATCAACAATCACTCCACCACAGCGGTACTTCTCTTCCTAACAAAGAAAAGAAGGGCAAGTTACGTCCAAACACGGGGAAAATAATAGCAATAAACTTTTTAGACGAATACGCAATACCAGTGAGGCATTTGTTCTGGATAACGCCAGCAGCTGACTCAAAGTCCTGGTTCGACGATCTGCATCAGCTGTAGCATCAGCCGCAGTAGCAAACTCAATCGGCAAGGATTCAACAACCTCATGTTTCTCAGCAAACCTAGCAGAGATCCAAGCACCATAATTTAGACAACATATGAGCCTTGGCAAAAAACGGACTACACCAACAGTACACATGAATTTGGCAACAACCCACAACTAACTTATCTAGATGCAAGAAAATAAGCCTTTGGTACAGGAGGATTGACTGATATGCGAGTAGCGGCAGAACTCGACAGAACATAATCATCTGAAAAGTAGAATAAAAGACGACAAAATCTATAACATACTAATAGACCACACTCAATCCAACGAAACCGTGCATGCAATAAGGAAGCAATAACATACCTCCCAGCTTATTAACCAGCAAGCCGCCAAATGCCAAAAATCACAGCTTCAATCGAGTCAGTCTGAGTGAGAGCAATGTGATCCAACACCGCAGAAAACTCATCCCGGAGTGTAATCGAGACCTTCGCTCCACTGAGAATAGAAAGAGGACACGTAAGAGAAACAAATAACAAACACGACACTCACAACCGAACCCATAAACACAGAAAAATGCAAAACACCTTTCATCCTCAACTATAACCGCCTGCTTGACTGCAGGCCCGTTATTTGCGATCTTGTGCGATATCCAGCTGATCGAACTGAGTCGGCCAACGACATCTACGAAAACAGTACAAAGGTAAAATCTTAGTAAACAAACAACAGATATATAAGCAAAGCAAATCTAACAAAAACAAACCTGCTAACCTGTCAAATAATGATGGTTACTGGAACGCATATTCAACTGAGAGAAAGCCACAAACTCGTAAGCATCAAGTGGGAAACTTTCAGCAGGAAGAAAACAGGGCTGAAAAGAAGCCGAAGGCGAAAGACCCAAAGCCAAATCAAAGGAACAGGCCCGATTCTGATTCGGCGGATTGCTCAGGGCAAAAGTCTTTATGACGTATATCTTGCCAACCGAGAGATTACGACGAATCCCAGCAGCCATCGAAGTCGGTGAGACGCCCTGTATCAGCATACCCTGCGCAAAACACACCAGCCTGCCGCATGAACAAAGCGAAGAGGAAACAGCAAACGGGGGCAAAAAATAAAAGGCGGGAAGGACAGGAACTTAACCGTTTCATCGACCCAAAGAGTACAGTAATTGTAGATCCTAATGTCCCCCGGAGACTTCGCCGGCCACACATGCAGCAGTCGGAGCCGCAAAGAAACGCTGGCATTGCGCGGACCTCCGAGGTTACAAAGCAGAGTAAACTCCATGGTTTGGGAAAAGAAGAGCACCAAAGAGAGAGGAAACAATTTTTGAGAAAGAAAACAAAATGACAATAGGGAAGTTCCGGCGCCACGAAAGAGTAAAAAAATGGAGGAAAGAATGAGCAGACGTGAAAATAGTGTATTTCAGTTACCGGTCCAATGACGAAAGGAAACGTAAAAAATGGGAAACGACACTGCGATTGACAAAAAGATAAGGACAACGTAAAATCAAGGAACCGCCAATGAAACCATAAAAAGCAACGAAGGATTTCAGTCGCCGAAGCGGCGGTTATCAGATATCAGGCCAAACACAAAGGAAACCGTTCCCCCCAGGCCCAAATGCAAAACGATGTATATAAAATGGCGCGCCCATCATTGGCCGAAATCCAGGAAGACAAGAAAGAAAGCCTACGTGCAAGAGAGCAAAGCAAAGCAGTGCGCGAAATAATTATACATGCGGCGGCCTCAGGGGAAATGATAGAGAGAAGCAGAAAACGCAGGGGAAATGAGCGTCCATTTGAGGGCAACGCGACACACACAGAAACAACAGAAAACAAATAAAAAACCGGCCCACACACAGCTGAGCAGCCAATAAGAAAATGCGGCCGCAGAGCATGGACCAATCAGGGGAGGGTGAACAGTAATTTTGAGTCCAAATGAATAGTAAATTGTGTCTAGGCGAATAGTAACCGTGTCTTTGCAAATAACTTGTTCTAATTGGAGAAGATTGGTCCAGTAGCTTATAGGCTTGTCTTACCACCAGTACGGATGGATGGCAATAGGTCGGGTTGGAGCGGGTTTTGCCAAACACAAACCTAAATTCATAGGTAGTGATGGCAATGGGGCAGGGCGGGTACCTCAATACTCATTCTCCGCCCCACACTACTATGGGTGGGGGCAGGTAAAACCCGCGTGGGTACGGGGCGGGGCGGGTTGACCCACGCTTACATGTTATTTGAAAAAAATACAATCAAATTTTACTTTTTATGATAAAACGAAGGGAAAAACACTATCAATGAAAAATAGTGACAATAGAATGAGTAATTGAGTCTAACAAGTTGAAATATCGACTCTAATTAGTTGAAGAAAAGTCAAAATAAGAGAAATATGTATAGATATTGTAAGAAATTGATATAGAATAGGCCAAAAACGGGGCGGGGCAGGACGGGTCGGAAGTAGATACCCATGCCCCGCCCCATGCTACTGCGGTCGGGTAATACCCGCCCCATTGCGGGTCAGGTCGGGTGATACCCGCGGGGTGGGTTGAAATTGCCATCACTATTCATGGGTTTATTCGACAAAAAAAAACTCAGGGTAAAACACGCTGAATTTGAAAAACTCATACCCAACCCATTGGGTATCCGCGGGTTCATGGGTACCCATGGATTTTTATGGTAAAAAATTTACAATAAACGGTTTCTTCAAAATAAGTCTAATATCAAGTTTCTCATACAAATTATCCATACAAAAAACACCAATTTAGAGCATGCAAGCAAACCGCAAATTATCAATACAAATTGTTCAAGATTAAATATAAATATTTATAAACAACATGACTAATTGAAAGCTTATTCCTCCTTGTCTACTAACCTTCTTCATTCTCCACTCCATAATATCAACTTCATTCTACACAATTAGAAAGAACCAATTAAACATGTCTCCACAAACATAAATAAGATTAATTGTTTAAGGAAGATATATTTCTTAGAATATTAAATATACTGAAAAAATTAATTATATGGGTGTGGGCGGGTATATCTAAACCCAAACCCAACCTGGTGAACAGTGGGCGGGTTTAAACCCGAACCCAATCCAAAACCCGTCAACACAGATTTTAGCCCCGTTGATCAAGTTGTATCGGGTAGGATACCCGTGGGTTCGGATTTTGCTGTCATCCCTAACCACCGGTAGGGTGTACATGGGTCGGTTGCCTGGTTGGTTAAGATTTAGTCCTTTTAATCACCCGACTCATACACTTCGGTTTTGAATACATTAGATACAAACCAACCCTAAAAAATTAATACACCACGATTTTCTTATAATTGGATTGGGTTGGTGGATTATACTTTTATGCAAAAACCCAACCCAACACACAAAAAATACACCTATTTTGCTCCATAAAAAAGAAAGATGATTTAATTTATTAAATATCAAGCAAATAAGCTGAAGAAAAATTCATCAAAATGCATAAAATATGTTGCTTGGATCTCGATGAAGTGCAATTTACTTCAATATATTTGTATTATTTTTCGTAAACATTTATCGAGATAAGTGATGCTCTAAAACACAACACCTAACAATGGCCAAGTGTAACCAATGAAAGGGACTGCAGTATAGTGGGACAAGTAATAAATATCGAATCCACGGGTCTCTAGAGTTACTATTACTCAGCTTCAGTTCATTATCTAGCAAACTAGATTAAGGGTTGATTAACTAAACTACTCTACTAACTCAACTAAGTAAAACTACTAATTACAGTTTGGGAACTCACTTAGGTATGATTCCCCCTAGCTCCTCAATTAGGTCCAAGTTGTAATTCCTTTTGGTTGTTTTACTGTTGATTAAACTGCGGAAGATCCGAAAGTAGCTTGGAATCTCTTAAGCTGACCAAGCCCTCTCAGTCTAACTATCCGGCAGACGACTAGTCTTCACCGGGATAGAAAGCTGAAGCAATAAGCACAGAACTCCACTACTGGAATTGGATTCCAGTACAAAGCAGTAAACTGGCTAACTCTCGTATAGCCAATCTCCTACTACCGAATGATGAGACTCTAGCAACCTAATCAGATTCTATCTATCTCAGATTGCAGCAGGAATCAGGAAAAGTTGATCAGACTTCAATTGACTCAATAAACATGCATCATTCGATTATAATCAAACAACATAGCATCCAAAACTTCATACAAGCAAGCTCCTAACTCATGGAACTAGGGTTCCTCAAAACCTAAGTGAAGGGAAGTTACTCCATAGAGAAGAGAGAGACTGCAGAAATCTGATCTAGATCTTCAATCTCCATCTCCAAGCTTGATTCCCGAGCTCCAATGGCGAAGAAATCCTCCAAAATAGCTCCAAGAATGTTCCCAAGTCGCTCTCTCTCTCTAGGGTTCGTCCCTTGGGTGTTTGGGATCCAAAACCCAGCTCTCTCTCTTTTTTGGTTCGGAATTTGGCTTAAAACCAGGAAATCCCGACTCGCACGGCCAGGGTGCACGGCCGTGCATATCACCATTCTGGCCGTGCAACTCAAAACGCAGCGTGTCATTTAGTCGAACTTCAGCCCTCTCGCACGGCCAGGGTGCACGGCCGTGCGAGCTTCAGGGGTTGCCCGTGCGTGTCCTCGGCATAAGGCGCACGGCCATATTGCTCACGTGCACGGCCGTGCAGCCTCCCTGGTCTGCCCGTGCAGCTCCCCAAAAACCTCGCCATTCGTCCGTTCTTCGTCCAATCGACCCCAGACTCGCTCCTAAGCCTTCATTCACGTACTAGGACCTGAAACATCACAAACAAGCACAACCTAGCGTGAAATCGGTCTAAACCACGAGAAATCACATCTCAAACGGTGTAAGAACAGGGGTAAAAACATGTGTAATTAACGGTCTATCAATAAGCTTGTATACGACGCAAGTATATTTTGGACATGAACAATTAGGACAACAGTTGTAACATGGGTTGGGTTCTACGAATTGCGTAACCCAAAAATCCAGCTCAATCTAGTAGAGATGAGTTTCACAAAAGAAAAGTTAAACTTAACGTTAAACAATAATATTAATGATAAACACGGGTGGGTCTGGTTGAGTTGGATGGGCAGTTTGGTTTAAGATCAATTATTTTCAACTTAACCACCGAAGCTGGCTGAAGAGCATAATGTCTTTCACGTGAGCCTACTCCGAAGATATCAATCTGATCCCTCCCATGTGATACAAAATCAATCCTGAAAATTGTCGTTCAAACATTCAATCCTGGAAGCCGTCAAGATTTTTCACCGGTATGGGAGCTATAGCAATTAGTCTATCAGGTCTCATCCAATCTTTCACCTGAATCGGCTATACCCAGTTCTCATTGGCTCTCTTATTTGTTTAGATTCTGTCTTCCCCCCTTCCTACCACTCTTGTACGTCTTGCATCTGTTACATCGGCTCCTTCCTCTTGGTCGGCATTCTAATAAGTGAATTTGATGAGGAAAAGCAGGAAAATCGACGATGAATGAGATAATTAAGCGAATCCAACTTTTACATTACTATAACTAAAGGAAGAGAACAAAGACTTTTTGAAGAGTATTCTGAATTAGTCTCATCCTCTAAGAAAAAAATTCATTGTAATATATGAAGGTGAGGGGAGATGAAGAAGAAGAGGCATCATGGTTTAATGAAGAAGAATTGTTTTGTACGAAATAGTTTGGAAATATTCTGGTAATGTCAATTACTAGGGGGAGTGGTGATATTCTCAATTTTCGTGAATGTGGCAATTAAAGAATATTTCCATACCCTTTATGCTTTACGTAACTTGGGGTTTTAACCCAATTACTACATTATGTGGTAATTGGGTTCAATTATTGCATTACATTTTCACATTCAAACGACCCCTTACACTATTTTTGGCAACAAGGAGGGTGCAAATCCGAGGGGGTGCAAGTTTAGGGGTAAATTGCAGGATGGTGCAAATTAGTGGGGGTGTAAGTGGATGGGTAAATTGTGGCTTGGATGAAAGAGTAGGGGGTGCAAATAGAGGTAAAAGTAAGTATTATATTTTTATAAAATAGATTTATCAATATATAAAATATTAACACAAAATAATAAAAGAAATTAATTATATAATAATTAATATTATATTTTAATGAAATAATTATTATATAATAGTGCTCAAATAATAATTAATTATAACAACTGTAATAATCATTGGCCGAGTGACCATGGAGCCCAACTCGTAACTTGTCATCCTATAAGGTTCTCGTGTTTAATTTAACTTTAAATTGAATATGGTCAAACTTAGCCTTACTTAGTCAAACACGTTCCACAAACACTTCTTATCTCTAATTTTCATTGCAAATTCGAGTCAACCAAGAGATCTCTGTTTGACTAGACGAGCATTGATAAATTTGCTCCCGGAGTCAAACGGTCAAACCCCGAACAATGTCAACGTTAATAATAACTATAAAAAATTGACAATATTTACTGTAAAATAATTACAATTATATAATTACAAAACAATTAAAATTAAAAATTCCATAATTTATCCTCTTTCTTCATTCCCTTGCACCCCAATTTGGGAGGTAAGCCAAAATAATAAGTTTGCACTCCCGTTTTGCACCCCCCTACTGTTACAAATTATCTA